ATTAAAATTTAAGATTTATAGTGAAATAATAATTTTCCTAAAATTTTTACATTTTCAAAGCATTGTAGTTGTCAGATTATAGAATAACATAGTACTTGAAATTGATTTAAACTCGTAGTCTAGTGCATGCAAAGTTCCGAAGCAAAACATTCTTTATCTTCAGAGTTTTGGTGTAGACTTAACGAATATCAAATGATCATTTCAGAAATACATTATGCTTGGAGCGCTGCGTGTCTTTACTAACACATAACAAAGTTGCTTATTGGTGTTTAAGTAGTAGGGTTGGTTATATCTTCTGTTTGTTTCAGTTGTTCTTTGGATGGTTCTTTGGTTTTGAGATATTTAGGGTGTGGTGTTTACCATTCGAAGAAATCTATATATGTAATTCTGAAATGAAAAATATTTGATATTTCTAGTCATAAAAAAAATAATCAAATGTTTGAGCATAAAGCTGCTTTGAACTTTGAATCTGTACGATTTTCATACTTTCTTTAATGTCTTATTTTCAAAATTGAAAATGAATATCTTCAATCAAAATCAAAATCTAAATTGTATTTGACATATTTTGATGTATTGGAAATGGAAAACGAGATAACATATTCTCGTAAATTAAGTTGAATTCAGGGGAAGTGGAAAATGATCCCAAAAGTTTTTTAGATATACTTTATCTTCTTCAAAATTGTTTCTGGGTATCTACATCTTTAAAGCACTGATCGCTATTAAGATAATAAAGAAGTAAAAATACATTTTTATAACAGTCAAGCCATAACGAAAATTCTGCCATACAAAAAAGAATTTGGATGTTTAATCTACATTTATTATAGAGTTATAAACATAATCGCAAAGGTTATTAATTCTTACATGACTGAAAGCTTGTACAAGTCTTAATATTTGGTGAACAATAATAAATTTCTATGATATATATATATTATTATCACTATTTTACTGAATTTTGCTTTGATCTTACTAATAATTTCCTTTCTCATCATAGTAGAAAGATATGGAAAGTATCTCTAGAAACTGAGGCTGCATGTGCCATTGTCAATGTAAATTTCAACGTCGTCATAAGCAAAATAGTGATAAACAGATTATCATTGGTCATCTCAACTTGATTGCTTTTCTCATTTTCGCGGTACCGGCTCAAGGGAGAAAATCAATCTCGTTGAGATGACCAACGAAATTTATAATGATTTCCAATACCCTTAAAACTTCATTTTGAGTTATCTGAAACTATCATCATCTCCAAGTGAAGAGTTATCTAACATCAATCCTGATTACTTACAGTAGTTATCTCCCTTTGCTTCAAGCTTCTCAACCTTGGGTTAATTTTCAACTCTCACCTTCAACACTAGGTTTTCATCCACAAATTCCAGACATTTAATGATAACTTCATTATTATGAGACCATAATTGACAACTGGTATTAATGTTTTAATTTCACTTGTTAGTCCCATTTAACAATTGCTCATCGTAATTTGTAAAATTAAATTGTCTTGAGTTTAAGCATTTCATTGTAAAAATTTCCTGTTTAATAGAAAATTAATCTTTTTAACTTCCCAAGCCATTCTGTGATCAATATATTAAAGGATAATTTTGTCCAGCTTCTTGAAACAATTTTTCTTTTTTGCAATCAAAAGTATTGACAGTGAGCAGGATCATTTCAAGATCACAAAAAAGGAGCTGAAAACTGGTCTATTTTATTCTATTTATCATGTGTACATGAAAAGGAGTAGATTGTACAACACAAAAATTTCAAATTTCAAATCATATGTTTGTTGAAATATAGCTCATTTTATACAATTTAGATCTTTTATTGAAAAGGTATTAGACTGATCTTAACCCTATCATACCGTTTGAATTACAACATAAATTAATTTGCTCCTTGGTATCAAACCATTCTATCTTTTTCAAATTTGGTAATTACAATATAGGTAAAGCACTTGCCATCATAAAATACTTTAAAAAAAAAAATAAGTAAAACCCAATTATCAATAACTGACTGCAGCTATTCTTCATTGGATCCTTTTTGAAACTCATGGCCAGACAAAGAGTAATCTAAGAGCTTGACTCTTTAACAGGGATCCAACTTGAGCCTCATTAGTTCAAAGGAGTTTTCCATCAGTCCATAATAATTAAGAAATAATTGTTGCAAGCTATACTTTATTGTAATTTTAACATTGGTAGGCATAATACTGTAAATTCAGAAATTATTGCGTGCATTTATTATAGTGATTTTGTCATTTTAGACTAAAATGTGATTTAAATTTTTGCGATATTGAGAAAAATCCTGTTAAGTTCAAATAAAAAATTTCAAAATGCGAGTTTAAATTATTGCGATTATAACCCTGTCGCATTTTTCGCAATAATAAAAACATCGCAATAATTTCTGAATTTACAGTATATACATGATTATTTTTGCCTGAGCGATAGCATACAATCAGTTCTGTTAACCAAGCAGTTTTAGATTTATATTAGACCCTGTTTCAGACTTTGGGGATTTAATCACTAAAAAAGTTAAAGATAACCAGACTATTTTAGATTTAACTGGTAATCTGTTTTCTTTTCCCGGTAGCAAAAAAGAGCTGATTCCTGTAAGTCTGTATATTGGCTGCTTCTGGTTCTTATTCATTTAAGGAACCAATGATTCAGGAGAGTGCAGTAACCTTGCCTCAGTCCATTATTGTCAAGATATCAGTGATTTTCCTTTTTTTCTGACAAAAGTCATTGGAAGTTATCTTACATAAAACAAATTTTGATATAACCAATCAAAAATGCTATCATAAATAATCTGGGAACAAAAAATTTTACTTTTTCAATTGTAAATTTTGCTACTATTTTTCTTTCAAGTATAAAACTAAAGTAAAAAGTAAAAATCTATTTTATTGAAGTATTACATGCCATTTGAGTTTTGAAATTAATTTAAATTATAAAGTATTGAAATTAATTTTTATTATAAAGAATCAGTATTTATATAATTTCTTTGAGTTCTTAATTTTTTCTTTCTAAATTCTTTTATTAAATCTAAAGATTTCATACTTGATACATGTAATATCATTTTGCATCATATTTGTATTTTTTCATTTCAGCTTCTTTTTCTTTTACCACTGAAACTTCACAGAATAATTGCGTACATTTTGAAGTTGTGTACCTGCTTATATGAAATTGTTTGAGGAATTTCCCCCCATTTTTCCCTTAATTCTGATCTTGATGATTGTTTTCCAAAATTTTCAAAGATGGTACTGATTTTGTGTAATCAACTCCTGCAGTTTTCAATCTCAATCTTTTTAACTTCACACAATGATTGTACAAATATTTAAGTTGTCCACTTGGTACTATGGAATTGTTTGATAATTTTTTTCCTGACTTGGGAACTAAGTAATTTTTCATCCAAAGGTAAATAAATAGTTTTTAACCCATATCTTTTGGAATTCACAGAGAGTTTGCAAATCTATAGAGGCTTTTATAAATTTTGGGACTATACATGACTACTATGTACATGAGTAGTAAACCTTGAAAATGAGATATTTTTGATTAAACTATGCTTCAAAATATTTTAAAAATGTTGATTTATATGTTTTTATTATACTATTACTACACTGTACTTTTTTTCTTACATTTGTATAAGTATTTTCATATCAGATGTCTGGTAACTTATATAAAAGCTATTATCTAGAGCTCTGTAAATAAAAAAAAATGTAAATATAGTTCTAAAATATACTTTTAATGAGTGGAAGAAATTGTGGGGTACAGAATACATTTCGTAAATTATCAAAATACAAGTTACCTGTTTAAAAGCATGTCTGGTATTTTTACAGTACTTTTTAAATGAATTTAATAAATTATTTGTATTTTAAATTGAGAATTTCTTCAGTTTCCATGATTGGAAAAATAATGTGAGATGCCTTAGAACATTCTGGTGACTTGTACATTTTATAATGTACAATGGAAAGGACATTTCATTACTTAGATAAAATGGATTCAGTGGACTGATTAGCATAAAAAATTATGATGGAAAACCTTTGAAAGCAGCCAGGATAGCAGCTCCAAGGAAGATGGTCAAATAAATCATTCAACCAAGTCTGAGGCTTTACCAAGAAATTAAGAAGGCAAGTTTATTTAAGCCAAATATTTGTATACATTTTCTAGAAATATTCGCCAAGAGAAATATTCGCCAAGAAGTGCATATTAAGACAACACGCTAGCACCCTTCTGATCTTCTGCATGCAAAACACCATTGATGTATTAATTTTAATAAGTTTTATAATTTAAGTTACCATTTTCTTGAACAAGAGGGGCCTCGGTGGCCAAGTGGTCTAAGTAGTTACTACTGTAATCACTAGCCAGTCAACACTGAGGTTGTGAGTTCGAACCCCGCTCATGCGGGTGCACTCGACTCCAATCTTAATTGACTAGGATTGTCAGTTTTCCTATCGAAGGTCGGTGGTTTTCTCCGGGCACTCCGGCTTCCTCCACCAATAAAAACTGGCTGCCACGAAATAGCCCAAAAGTGGCGTTAAAACACCAAAAATCAATCAATCAATCTTGAACAAGATTTTCGATCAAAATATTTAAAACTTCAAGGGGAGACAAGTACAATTAACAGCAAGATTTGTTCATTCAATGGGATATAACTGTTAAATTTGCACATCACTTTTGTGCAGTTAAATTCCAAACAAAAACCTTTGACTTGTTTTATTTTTATTATGTCAAGTTTTCTGTTTAATCAGGTTAATAGTTACTCCTTGCTATAGATCAATGACATTTTGTATTTATTTGCATTACTACCAAAATATCGAATTAATTAGCAATGTTGCTAATCATCAGATGTTTTTCATTTTCCGCTGCTAGGCGAGACATCTCTGTCAACAGTTTATCTTACAAACTTGTGTTGATACTATTGTGTACATTTTGTAAGAAATCAAAACATTATATAGTGACTTTATATTTATAGAGAAATGGATTTGTAAAATATATAATGTGTCTTTTTTAATTCTTATTAGGTTCTTCTGTGATATGTTTTCATGGTGTGGGAATAAGACTTGGTGGTCTAATACAGCTAATACGAAGGTATGTACCAGTATGTTAAATTAGTCCTGTTTTGAAAAAAGAAAAAGTATTTATAATGTATTTGCAAATAGCATGTGCTCTAAGCGTGAAGGTTTGTAGGAGTTTGGTAAGAAGTCTTTGCTTTCTTTAATTGCCTTTAAAGGAGTAAATTTAATTATCTGATTTGATTGTGTAAAAGTTTGTTGGGATGCTGGTTTGCTGTTCTCAACTTCTATTACATATTTATAGACTTTTATTTAATTTGCCACTGGACATTTAGCAACCAACAATCAAATGAATCAATCATTCAAAATATGGAATATACATACAGTATATCAAAAATGATCCTTTTAAACAATCTTGAATGACTAATCAGTTTATTTTTCAGGTTAGCATCACAGCTTGTCTGTAAAGATTGAAGCTGGGAGTGGGCATTGGAGCTGACTTTTATGGTAAGAACCAATACAAAAAAAAACAATATGTAAAAAAAGAAATATGTTAGACATCTACCATTGACTTGTTTTTCATCCTTTTCTGCTAATAAAGACTGGTAGTTCAAAAAATATATCAGCAAATCACTTTTAAACAAAGTAAGAGAAAGGTTTTATGAATCATGATTATAATGACCAGTTACTTATTATTTTGCATTTGATATTGTTTCAATTTTCAGATTTTGACAATTATGTTTAATTCTGTATATTTCTTTTTCAGGTAACTGTGGCTGCATAAAAGGGCTATGTGATTTTACTGTAACAGTAAAGAATGTAATTCAGACTATTTTTGTGTATGTTTGAGAAAATGTTAATTTTTTTTTTCTTTTTGTAAAAATTATAATGTACAGGTTCTCCATTTTCAACAAGATTGGAAGTTGTAGGTTAATAGGTCTTTGCAATTTCAAAAATTACTTTCTATTTTCTGTTCATACTCATGTCTACGCAAAACACTTCCAGCAGTTTAAGAATGGAGAATCTAAAAAAAAGAAAAGAAAAAAAAGAAAAAAAAAGAAAAAGAAAAAAATGTTCAATTATTGAAATGTTTTTTATTTTTGCAAATTGTAATATATTTTTTCACCTTTGTGTCATTTTTAGCTGAGTTTATAACGAAGGGTATATTATTTTAAGAATATTTTACAAGAAGCATAGTTGAAGAATATCTTGATGAAAGTAGATTGATTGATTTTTGGTATTTAACACCACTTTCAGCATGATTTGCTATATCTTGACTGCCAGTTTTTATTTGTGGAGACAGCCTGGTGAAAACATCCCCTTCAACAGAGAAACTGGCAACTATTGACGTTAAACACACCTACAATGTGAGTGTTCAGAGTGTTGACAGGCTAGTGATATAGTAGTTGAACTACTTTGACCATTCAGCCACCATTACTACATCCGCACTAAATATGTTATTGAAATGTGTTGAAATTTTGTAATTTAATTTTTTTTTTATTTTGATTACCGGTATACTATTTATGTTTTTTTGTTATATGTAACAAAGATGTGGAGTTCTAACAGGGTGAAATTTAGGTCAAAGGGAGGTAATTTATTATACTGTGTTTAACTTCAAATACTTGAAATTCCCTCAATGTTAGATTTTTATTTACTTGGATACTCACATTTATGCACTTTTTTACATATCAGATGTTTTCTAGATAATAGAAATTTAGGGTGGGAAAAATTGTGTGTCACTTAAAATAATTACGTGAAATTTTTCAAAAAGTTTATTAATTGAAAGTGCATCTGATATTTTTTATGTATGTTACTTAATTTTCAAAAACAAATGGACACAACATAGATTGACAATTAGATATTGAGAAGAACCACCTTGTCAGCCAGGATAGCAGCTCTTAGGAAGATGGTCAATTAAATCTTCAACCAAGTCTGACTCTTTACCATGAAAATAGAAAAGGCAAGTTTATTTTAGCCAGATCTTTTAAGATAACAGACCCTTCTGAAATATTGCATTTAAAACACCATTGATGAATTAATTTACCAGTTTAGTATTTAAAGATACAAGATACATGAACAAGATTTTCTATTAAAATATCAATAGTAAATCCTAAAAATAGTCATTAAACTTCAAGAAAAGACCAGTACAATTTAAAACACGATTTTGCATTCAATGGGAGATAACTTTGTAAAATATTCAGATACTTTTTGTGCAGTTAAATTTAAATCTGACGTTTTTTTACTTTTCTATCTTTTATATTGATTTAAAAAAAAAATGATTTTATACAATTGTCTACCTGCAATAAGAAATCAGAACAATATTTAGTAAATTTTAGGTTATCGGTAACACATCAATTGATTTACAAAACGTATAATGTGTTGATTATAATTTCATTTCAGGTTCTTTCTGAGACATGTTTTCATGGTGTGGGAATAAGGCTTGGTGGTCTTATACAGCTAATACAAAGGTATGTACCAGTATGTTAGTCCTGTTTTGGAAAACTCAAATGTATTATAAATATTTTATGGAAAAACAAGATTTGAACGCTTAAAATATTTTTTTACAGGAATCTACTCTTATTATTATATCAGTAACCAAATAAGAGTAAAGTTTAGGATCTGAATTGTTTACATAAAAATGTGTTGGCTTGTTGGATTGCTGTCTCATCCATATGTTCTTGACATATATAACATATTTTAAGACTTTCTATTTAATGATTTGCCACTGGACCTTAAGCAACCAACAACCAATCATTCAATCTATTCAATATACATACATAATACCAACAAAGAACCTTTTAAACAGTTTTTATATGCCCGTTTACGGGACATATCATGGTATACCTCTGTCCGTCTGTCCGTCATCAACATGTCGAACATTAACTCAAAAACGCTTGAACCAATTTGCATAAAACTTTGGTGAATTGTTTATATCTATTGACGTGAGCTTCCTTTCGTTTTTTATAAATTTTTGATTTTACGTTTCCGAGTTATGGGGTTTTATTCATTAAAAAAAGGGGGTTTTTCCTGTTTTCGGACAAAACTCAAGAATGCTTTCACCAACTTGCAAGAAATTGTTGTGAATTGTTTATATCTATTGACATGAGCTCCCTTTCGATTTTTATAAATTTTAGATTTTACGTTTTCGAGTTACAGGGTTTTATTAATGAATTATCATTTTATATTTCAGGTTAGCATCACAGCTTGTCTGTAAGGATTGAAGCTGGGAGTGGGCATTGGAGCTGACTTTTATGGTAAGAATCAATACATAGATTTATGAACTTTTCATCCAAGAGCATTTTAAAGCCCAAGATTTTTGTTAGGCACAGATGTAAATCTTACATATTAATGTCTTCTTTACTTATAGTTGAATAAACAATTTAGAAGGAGATATAAAGATATATAAAGGAAGTCAAAAAGTATAATGTATAATGCGAAATCTTGTGATTTCAGTTTTTTTGTTATCTATAGTTGTCCCCATATATGAAAATATGTAAGTGTGGTATGTATGCCAATGAGACAGCCATCAACCAGAGACCAAATGATGTGGATGCAACTAAATATCACCCTATGCCTTCAACAATGAGCAAAACCTATATTATATAGTTAGCTATAAAGGTTCAACATGACTAAATGTTAAAAAATTCAATCAAGTATGTTAATAGCCTGATATACTATATATAGCTATAAAACAATGTTAAAAAGATATTTGTCAAGACATCAGCCAATGACTTGTTTTTCATCCTTTTATGGCTAAGAAATACTGGTACTTTAAAATTTATGTCAACAAATCACTTTATAACAAAGAAAAAGAAATGTTCTATACATTATAATTGTAATGCTCAGTTAAAAATAATTGTTTTGCATTAAATATTATTTCAATGTTCATGAGTAATGTATTTTTCTTTTTCAGATAACTGTGGCTGCATAAAATGGTTGTGTGATATAACTGCAACAGTAAAGAATGTAATTCAGACTATTTTTGTGTATGCTTGAGAAAATGTTTATAATTTTTTTACAAAAAAAAAAAAAAAAAAAAATATGTAAAGATTCTCCATTTTCAACAAGATTGGAAGTTGTAGGTTAACTTGTATTTGACATTATAAAAGTTCTTTCTATTTTCCCTTTATACTCATGTCTAGTCAAAACACTTCCAGCAGTTTAAGAATGGATAATCTAAAAGAAAAAGAAAGAAAAAAAGAGAAAAAAATGTTCAATTATTGAAATGTATTTTTTTTTGGCAAATTGTAATGTATATATTTTTGCCATCTTTTTGTTATTTTAGGATTTGAGATACTTTCAAATTTTACAAGTTACTTTATACATGAAGTTAATGCAATTAAATCTGCGGATGTGAATATTCCCACTAAATTTCTTAGCAAAAATTTTAATTATTTTTGTTTTTTTTAGCAACGTTTCAAAATACCTTACAATAGCAAATGCCTCTCTAGTGTAAACTAAAAAGATGAATAATGGTCTGCAGTAAATATATCCCCTTACAACCTTTTCTTTCATGTTAATTTTAATATCTTTAAGATATGTGACAAGGGTGCTCTAATGCAGAGGAATTTACGAAGTTAAGAAGTTAGAAATATATTTTTTGCACTTTTTTTTGTCATTTTTAGCTGATTTTGGTTTGTAACCAAGGTGAAATTTTTTAAAGAATAATTTTACAAAAGGCATAGTTGAAGAACATCTTGTTGAAATTGGATTGGTTGATTTTTGGTGTTAAACACCACTTAAACATGATTTACTATAATTTTGGCTGTAAATTTTTATTTGTGGAGACAGCCAGAGTGCCTGGTGAAAACATCACCTTCATCAGGGAAACGGGCAAACCCTAGTCAAATTAAGAATGAAGTTACACATTTCATGTGAGGGTTCTCAGTGTTGACAGGCTAGTGATACAGTAGTTGAACTACTTATAGGACCACTCTGCCACCATAAGTCGATCAGTACGAAATATTTTATTGAAATATGTTAGATTTTTGTTATCAATCTATTTTTTAATTTTAATTGTACTATTTTATTTATTTTGTTTAATATAACAAGGATGTGGAGTCGGAACAGGGTGAAATTTGGGTCAAAGGGAGGCAATTTATTATACCTCTGTTTAACTCCACATACTTGAAATTCCCTCAATGTTAGGATTTTCATCTACTTGGATATTCATGTTTGTACATTTTTTTTTAATTTCAGATGTATACTAGCTAATATTGACTATTATTTAGAGCTCTGTAATAAAAAAAATAAATGTAAGCAGAGCTCTAGATAATAAGTATGCAGGGTGGGAGAAATCTTGGGTCATTAACAATTGATTTGCTGAAATTTTCAAGAAAGGGGATTTATTGGAAATGCATCTGATATATTTAATGTATAAAACTGTATTTAAAAAAAAAGATGTTAAGATGATGAGGAGAGCCACCTTGTCAGCCGGGAGAGCAGCTCTAAGGGAGATGGTCAATTTAATCTTCACCAAGTCAGAGGCTTTACCATGAAAAATATGTGGTAAGTTTATATATTCCACAAATTTTATGGTAATAATATATATATAGGCATTTAACATTATTTTTTAAGGGTTCTTTTCTATTAGTGTTTGATATTTAGAGTATCTAGTCTTACATTTGTTTTCTGTCTGGTATCGAGTGAGCTGTGTTGGATAGAAACCAACTGTATGCAAGTTATTATCTTGGGTCAGTGTGGGTCGAACAAATTTTTATGCAAAGTCTGTAACTGTTTGAATATTGAATTGATATAGAATCATTTTCATAAAAGCGTGGACAAGACAATTTCTTGGCGCTCTTATGTTATCTATTGACTCGGTCAGATAAGGTGAAAGTTTGTCTGTAACATCCACTTGTCACATTGAATGTGTTATAGACATTTAAACTGGGGTCGCCAAAGGTTCTAAATGCCTACATCAAATAGTACGAATTACTAGCAGAGGACTAAACCTTGTGTGTTGATTTAAATGTTGAATAACTATTTTCTTTTTTTCTTCTCTTGTGCCTACATGTTCTTTGCTCTTTTATTCTATTTAAATCCCTATTGGAAGGCCTCTGACAGACTGAGTGAGCGTAAAATCACTGTTATCGATAGCCAATGGCAAACAAGTTAAAGGTACTGTAAATTCAGAAATTATTGTGTGCAATTATTAATAAATTTGGTGTATTTGCTGTCTTCTGATTGGTTAAAAGTATTACTTTTATTTTCAATGTTTTCAATTTTTATGGCGACACGCCCACTCTGACATTGTATATTCATACGCCAACATCCATGTACGTTATGGTTAATATAAATAATATAAAAAGTTCTTTGAGCCTTATTTTTGATAGAAATTTATTTATAATGAATGGCTATAATTTATTTTGAATTTATTGAACCATAAAATTAATTTTTGACTTCACATTTTACATAATCCGCTTTGCGGATTATTCAATGTGAAGAGTCAAAAATTAATTTTATGGTTCAATAAATTCAAAATAAATAATAACCATTCATTAATTGCGATTTTGTAATTTTAGACTAAAATGCGATTTTAATTTTTGCGATATTGAGAAAAATCCCGTTTAATTCATATAAAAAATTTCAAAATGCTAGTTTAAATTATTGCCAATACAACAATGTTGCATTTTTCGCATTAATAAAAACATTGCAATAGTTTCTGAATTTACAGTAATTGAGTTAGTATTATTACCAACATAAGTATTGGGGTTGTCTACGCTGTTATGAAAATGATTTTAAGAATCATCAAAAGAGAACAAAACCATCCGATTTTGTAATTGAATATTCCAAAATCATTGTCTTATACATATACGTGCACTTGCACAAGGTCAATTTCTATCTCTAGCAGTTTAAAGTTTATATAGTGAAGATGATAATGTATAACAGGTTTTAATAAATGAAACATAGCATTATTTTGTTAAGTCTTCTTAGAGACAGATTGATCTGTAAAACAAGTAATTATATTTTAATTTTTTTTATATTTAGGTTGTTATAATGATGATGTTTTCATGGTGTTGGGAGTAAGACTTGGATGTCTGATATTGTTAACATGTTGGTAGGTAATCAAGCATCTTTTTAGTAATATAATATTTGAAATCAATTTCATAAGGTTCTTTAGTACCAAAAAAATAATTTTACACTAATGAGATACCGGTTGAATTTTTTTGGTAAATATAAAACTGAGTTTATAATTCAGAATACCAAATATTTTTTCCATGATTTTTTGTTTTCCTAGTGCAATTTTAAATTTAGTACATGTGTAATAATTTTTTTTAGGAAAGTTTAGTATAACTGATTACTTTTATAGTCCAGGTTAGCATCAGGTTTCCATTGGGTTACTTGCTGGGATAATAAGGTTTATCACTTATAAGATAAACCAATTTAATGAAAGAGATTTGATTAATATATTTATTTTCCATAAAGACATATTTCATCATTCGGATCCGCATCTCGCTTCCGGCTTAGAAACATCACGTGACTTCAGCCTCACATTTGAACTAGCCGCTTCTAGATAAGTGAAAGTTTCAAAAGACAATCGTCAAAAAATCTTCGACATCCGCAACTTATAGATTTCTAATCAGATATGAAACCACCGAAAAGGCCTCGTAATGTTCCCAAAAAGGTTTCACAGCAGCCTGCAGGTCCAGCAAAGAAATTTAGAAAAGGCAAAGTGCCGTCAACACGAGGAGCACTTTCAGAATCACAGAACACGACAAGAACCGTACAAGTTTCTAGAACAGCGACCGGTTCTAATTTGTCAATTGCTAGTGGTCCGGCAATTAACATCGTAGCAGACGCACATCAGGAACCCCCATTCGTGCCTTTCAGGATTCAGGATGAGATGGATATAGAAAGTCCAAATTGCAACGAGGAAAACACACTGGACAGACCAAGGGGAGCTTTGTTACCACTGAATCCACAACCAGGCCCCAGCGGGGTGAAGAGTCCAGCAAACAACAACCTTGGTATGTTAACTGTCTCAAATCAATTTGTTTCACACGGGTCGGCAGGTTCTGGGTCTTTAGATACTCGTTTACAAGTGGACCAATCCCCTCCATACATTTCAAGTGTTTTTGATCCCATTTCATCCCATATTCCGGTCAAAATTAAAGAAAAAATATGGAACGGTGAGTTCATTGACCTGAACATTCTTCTAAAATCCACCCGGGACCTTGTAAACGAGCAAAATTTAGAGGGTGAACTGGTAGTAAAAGGGGGTGTTTTATCCTTAGTTAACCAAAAGAGAAGTCCCATAAAAAGTATTCATGTCTGGACTTCCGCATTCATGATTTATGGAAGTGTAATGCTTGAAAAATGGCCCAACAAAGGTCTGGAGTTTTTCAAATACATGCAAACAGTCAGAATGGCAGCCTCAAGGGGTTACTCTGGAGGCTGGGTTCATTACGATGAGCAATTTAGATTACGTAAAGCTTCTTCCCCCTTTTCTTCATGGGGAGTTGTCGATATGGAACTGTGGTTGCTATGTGTATCTACTCCGAACGTTAGTCCTTCTTTTAATACAGGACTTTCAAATGGTAATAACCATCAATTGCACAATGGGAATTCATCGACAAGTGGGGCGTCGAGTCAAAATTTAGGACAACGCCGGGTGTTTACATGCAGATTATTCAATAACAAGGGTATTTGTACATTTGGCAAGAATTGCAAATATACTCACAAATGCTCGAAATGTAATGGTAGTCATCCCTACTTAGAATGCAGAAATTAATTCCGCTTTGTTTTTATTTACCTTGTTTTGTAAATATTCTTTTTCCCTAGAAATTATATTTAGATATCTTTCAGTGCAATTGAACTTGTTTCATAGAAATGGCCGAGTTATCTCTCCTTGTACTAGTACAAATGTATTTACTATATTTTCTCATGTTATTTAATTTGTGTTTGTTTTTGTTTTTAATTTGCAGGTTACACGCATTTGTATTCTCTAGGTAATTCGCCAATAAACGTCGATGAAGTAAAGAAAGCTCTCATAAATTACCCGCATCAAGAGGCTGCGCGAGACCTGATCCAAGGTCTCGAAGCTGGGTTTAAACTAAAATACTCCGGTCCGAGACTTCCTGTGGATATAGATTCTAAAGAAATGAATGGGGAGAAAGCCACCATAGCTAGGGAAAAAATCTTTAAAGAAATTAACCTGGGAAGGGTAGCTGGTCCTTTTTCAGAACCTCCGTTCCCCACCTTTCGGGTTTCTCCGATCTCGGTTATCCCTAAAAAATCTAGTTCAGAATTCAGGTTAATTCATAATTTGTCCTTTCCTATACATCACTCCGTTAATGACTTTATTGACAAGCAGTACTGTTCTGTAAAATACTCAAGCATAGACGACGCTGTCAATATGATTCACAGATTGAAAAAGAACACGCTCTTGGCCAAGTGCGACGTAAAATCGGCTTTTCGTTTGCTAAGACTCTCTCCGGGTGATTTTGATCTGATGGGGTTCAAATTTGAGAATCAATATTTCTTTGATAAATGCCTCCCAATGGGGGCCAGTATTAGCTCGGCGCTATTTGAATCTTTTTCCACCGCCTTGCATTGGGTTGTACAGCAACAGTCAAAAAACGTCAATATTTTACATTATTTGGACGATTTTCTGTTTGGAGGCGAGGCACAAACTTCACAATGCCACGACACTTTGAAGTGTTTTCAGGATTCTTGTAAACTTTGGGGGGTTCCGTTAGCAGAGGAAAAAACGGTCGAGCCAACGGAAGTGTTGATATTCCTTGGTATAGAATTTGACACCATCAACATGGTAATGCGTCTACCCGAAGACAAACTTGTTGAGTTAAAATCCAGAATTTCTTTTTGTTTAGGTAGATCCAAAATCACCCTTCGGGATTTACAATCATTGATTGGCATACTAAATTTTGCATGTCAAGTAATTGTCCCGGGTCGAGCCTTTTGTCGTCGTTTGATTGACGCCACTTGCAATTTGCGTAGGCCCCATCACAGAACCAGAATAACTAAGGCTATGAAAGAAGACCTTAATATTTGGTTACTATTTCTATCAAATTACAATGGTACTACCGTAATTCTGGATAAATTCTGGTCATCTAACTCTGATCTCGAATTGTTCACTGACAGTGCAGGTGGGGTCGGAAAAGGCTTTGGTATTTATTTTGAAGGGAAATGGGCCCAGGCGAGTTGGCCCCACAATTGGATAATTTCTGGAATTTTAACCGATATTACCTTTCTAGAATTGTTCCCTGTAGTCGTTGCTTTGAACATTTGGGGAGGCATGTTAAAAAACAAGAAAATTTTATTTCACATAGATAACCAGAGCGTAGTTTCTATAATCAATAAAAAGTCTTCAAAGTCGACAAGTGTTATGTCCCTGATCAGGAAACTTGTATTGGCCTGCTTGGAATACAACATATTGATTAAAGCCGAACATATCCCAGGTCATTTGAATTCTCTTGCTGACTCCCTCTCTCGTTGTGATTTTCAGAAGTTCCGGAAACTATGCCCCACAGCAGATGCAAACCCATACACGATTCCGGCCCACCTCTGGAAAGGTTAAAAGACGAGGCAGACCTATTACTTAAATGTTCAATGGCTCCCAACTCCTGGAAAACTTATAAAACAGCAGTAGAATGTTTAAAAAAGTTTCGCATTATTTATAACTATCGTGATATTTGGCCTGTACCTATCGACGAAATAGCTCAATTTATAGCATACCTGTCGTACAAAGGTTTCTCTGCGTCTACTGTTTCTACTTACATCTCCGGATTGGCCCACACACACAAGATTAACAATGTAACAGATAACACGAAATCATTCATCATCTGCAAAATGATTGAAGGATTGCGTAGAAAAAATCCGCAAAAACTAGATGTTCGAACGCCGATATCGTTTGACTTGTTAAAACGTTTAATTCACAGTCTACGCAGCGTTTGTAATTCTCAGTATGAAACTATATTGTTTTCTTCTGCCTTTTCTCTTGCGTACTTCGCCATGCTACGAGTAAGTGAGTTGGCTATAAACAGTCGTACTGACGAAAGCGGACATGCATTGAAATGTGAAGATATCACTTTTGTTCAGAGTAATGGTCAAACCGAATTACATGTAAAAATATGCAGCTCAAAAACCGATCAAAAGCATAATTCCATAACCCTGATCATTCAGAGCCATGCCGATTCGAATATCTGTCCAATTACGCTATTGCAATCTTATTTGCAGGTTCGCTTCTCCGGCGTAAATGGATCTAATAAATTATATACACATTTTAATGGTTTGCCCTTAACAAAATATCAATTTTGTTCCCTGCTTCAAAAATGTTTGGGTTTCTGTGAACTACCGTTTCACATCCGTTCTCATTCTTTTCGGATAGGACGAGCTACTGATATGGCAAAAAATGGTGTTAAAGACGATATTATCAAGCAGTGCGGCCGATGGTCCTCCGTTGCATATTTACGCTATATTCGTATCTGAGTCTTTAACTTTCATTACAGCTCAAACAAGTGTTTTAAATATTATAATACATATTACCTCCTTTTAGGTTCAAAAGCTATTTGGTTCGTCGGATCTTCAATTGTATATTGGGCACAGACTAATGCAAAAACGAGAAACGGGGGCCCAAACATTGGTCTTCAAAGCAGAGGGGTGTACATACGCTGGTTTGGAAAAAGGGGTATGTTGTGGAATGAATTTAATGCCAAGGTATCACATGCAGTTGACAAATTTTCTCCTCCCGCCATGATAGTCATTCAGCTTGGTTCCAATGATCTGGTAAAAGTAAAAACCTTGGAACTTATCCAAAATATTGAAAGGGATATTCTGCGTCTGCATTTACTTCTACCTAACACTCGTATCGTATGGAGCGAAATGCTAATGCGTAGGTATTGGCACGGTGCTAAAGACGGAAAAGCTATCGAGAGATCTCGCAAACGAGTAAACTCTTCTATTAACAATTATGTCTTGAATGATGGGCATTGTATTATTCAGCATCCCAATATTCGAGCTCGAGAGATGAACTTGTATAGATTTGACGGAACTCACTTATCCGATATTGGATATGATATATACTTGAACAACATACAGGGGGGTATTGAAACTTTCCTATCATCTCACAAAATTCGCCGTTTCCCCGAAGTCTAATTTGGAAAAGAATTTCTAATAATTTTTCAAGGGGTTGAAAAAAGGGGGGGGGGGGAGTATTTAATGAGTGTGTATAGACTCACTCACGTGGCAAGATTAAGGGGTCATGATCCGTTCCTGTATTGTACGTCGGATCATATTAGTTTTTTACTTTCCTGCGTTACCGCAGGAAGTTCTGTTGAGACCATCTCATGTCTACCCTGAGTGGCCGGTTCTGAATTGGTACCAGTTCGAGCTCA